TGTTGCCACTGCTTTATACAATTATATATATATTCTTTTTAATTCAAAGAAATACCTGACGAATCAGAGTGGTACAGATTACTGGGTGAGTTGCCAGTTTGTCCTTTCATGAGATTGGACGGGGTATAACCATATGCTCAGTGCTATTGAGAAGAGAGAGAGAGAGAGAGAGAGAGAGAGAGAGAGAGAGAGAGAGAGAGAGAGAGAGAGAGAGAGAGAGAGAGAGAGAGAGAGAGAGAGAGAGAGAGAGAGAAGAGAGAGAGAGAGAGAGAGAGAGAGAGAGAGAGAGAGAGAGGCGAGGAGGGAGGGAGGAAGAAGGGAAAGATAGGGAGAGGGGGGGGATGGTGGTAGGAGGAAGGTACAGAGACAGGGCGGGAATGGAGGAAGAAAGATAGCGAGAGGGAGGGAGGAAACATAGATAAATATATAGAGGATACACAATATATATACACACACACACACACACACACACACACACACACACACACACACACACACACACACACACATACTAATATATATATATATATATATATATATATATATATATATATATATATATATATATATAGAGAGAAGAGAGAGAGAGAGAGAGAGAGAGAGAGAGAGAGAAGAGAGAGAGAGAGAGAGAAGGAGAGAGATGTGGTATTAGGAGAGAAAGTAGGAGGTGAGGGAGGGGGAGAGAGAAAGAAAGAAAGAAGCAAAGGCCACATGAATCCAGCCCATCATAAAACGAACATGATTCAAAAAATGAAAAAAAAAGAAAAAAGCCAACGACTTAATACGAGAGACAAAACAAAACAAAAACTAAAGAAAACAAACAAACAAAACATACGAATCACTCTCAAACCAGTGATCTTGACGACGCCAACCTTGCCTTACCTGGAAGATCTTTTCGGAGTCGAAGAAAAGCCGAGAAGTTCTTCCCGATGTCTTCGTTCTTGCGCCGTTCTTCCGATTCTTCCGCGTTCTTCCCGGCGTTCTTCTCGATGTCTTTCCGTTCTTCCCGGCGTTCTTCCCGATGTCTTCCGTTCTTCCCGGCGTTCTTCTCGATGTCTTCCGTTCTTCCCGGCGTTCTTCTCGATTTTCCGTTCTCCCGTTCTTCCGATGTCTTCCGTTCTTCGCGATGTCTTCCTTCCGATGTCTTCCGTTCTTCCCGGCGTTCTTCTCGTTCTTCGTTCTTCCCGATGTCTTCCGTTCTTCCCGGCGTTCTTCTCGATGTCTTCCGTTCTTCCCGATGTCTTCCGTTCTTCCCGGCGTTCTTCTCGATGTCTTCCGTTCTTCCCGATGTCTTCCGTTCTTCCCGGCGTTCTTCTCCGATGTCTTCCGTTCTTCCCGGCGTTCTTCTCGATGTCTTCCGTTCTTCCCGTTCTTCTCGATGTCTTCCGTTCTTCCCGATGTCTTCCGTTCTTCCCGCGTTCTTCTCGATGTCTTCCGTTCTTCCGGCGTTCTTCTCGATGTTCTTCCGTTCTTCCCGATGTCTTCCGTTCTTCCGCGTTCTTCCGATGTCCGTTCTTCCCGCGTTCTTCTCGATGTCTTCCGTTCTTCCCGCGTCTTCTCGATGTCTTCCGTTCTTCCCGATGTCTTCCGTTCTTCCCGGCGTTCTTCCGATGTCTTCCGTTCTTCCCGGCGTTCTTCTCGATGTCTTCCGTTCTTCCCGATGTCTTTCCGGCGTTCTTTCTCGATGTCTTCCGTTCTTCCGGCGTTCTTCTCGATGTTCTTCCGTCTTCCGCTTCGTTCTCGATGTCTTCCGTTCTTCCCGATGTCTTCCGTTCTTCCCGGCGTTCTTCCGATGTCTTTCCGTTCTTCCCGATGTCTTCCGTTCTTCCCGGCGTTCTTCTCGATGTCTTCCGTTCTTCCCGATGTCTTCCGTTCTTCCCGTTCTTCCCGATGTCTTCCGTTCGTTTTCTCGATGTCTTCCGTTCTTCCGATGTCTTCCGTTCTTCCCGGCGTTCTTCTCGATGTCTGTTTCTTTCCGATGTTCTTCCCGACGTTCACTTCGATGTCTCCCGTTCTTACTGATGTTCTTACCGATGTCTCCCGTTCTTACTGATGCTCTTCTCGATGTCTTCCGTTCTTACTGATGTTCTTACCGATGTCTTCCGTTCTTACCGGCGTTCTTCTCGCTGTCTTCCGTCTTTCTCCCGCTCTTCTTAAGCCACAGTGGGGGCAGAGAGGCAGCTCGCACGTTGACATTTCGGGTGAACTGATAACTTCAGTGGATGCGATAAAGTTCACAGAAAATGCGAAAGGCGTTCGTTCAGATAAGGGTCTTCTTGGAAGGAAAAATGAACTGGACATGTACACCTAGCAACACAATTATATGTATACGTGTGTGTATACATGCATTCAAGCGCAAAGGTGAAGTTATTTAATTATTTCATTCTTTTAACGCAGGTAAGTTATATTCCATGTGGTGATTTAATGACAAAATATTTTGTGTTTCAGTTAGCAAACTCAGATATGGATTTTTCACGAGATACACGAAGACCTCTGCCATTGTTTAATACTGTACTGCCACTTGGTGTCTCTTTAGATATTAAATTCATAGTATTACTTCTATTTCACTTAGACATAAAAAAAAAATCTGTCCATACTGAATTAGCCTAAAACACTGAAGGCACGGGAGAAAAAGCAGGACAAAATATCTCTTGGCATCAGTTCAGACTTCAGACTCCATCAGCCGCCATATTGCAGACGACCCTCACGTAGAAAGAAAAGAATGGAGCGTCTTCACTGATACGTTGCGGCCATGATGTGTTCTCTCTAAATTTAGCCATAATGAGGTTGCATCATTATCAGCTGATAGCACACGAGTCAACTGGAAATCGCTGACGTAGGCCGGGCCACTCTAGAGAAAAGGCAAATCTAAATGAACTGAACTGAGCTGATACTGCCATGTCCAGGGTCTTCAACTAAGGCCTGTGCTACAAGAACTGGGGATACCTTTTGTGTTTGTATTCTAAATTGGTATTCGGATATTGTGTGCACTTCTACTTGCACATGTACAAACACAAATACGCACATAGAAGCACACAGAAGCGAAAACATACTCCGAAACACACACCTAGAGACGTACACACACTTACACACATACCTGCAGACGCACATGCACTTACACACACACCTACACTTACTTACACATTTACAGACGCACAGGCACTTACACATCTACAGACGCACATGCACTTACATACACAACTACAGACGCCACATACACTTACTTACACATCTACAGACGCACATGCACTTCAACAACACACCTACAGACGCCAGATATTCACACTCTACTACCACATTCTTACCAGACACAGACTCCACATTACAACATCCTACAGACGCACACACTCTACATTCTACAGACGCACACTACCACCTTCACACATTCTACAGACGCACGATACACTATACACCATCTACAGACCGCATATACACTTACAACATCCTACAGACGACATACACACTTACACAACACATCTACAGACGCACATACACTTACAACACATCTAGCAGACCCGCACATACACTATACACACACATCTTAACACACCACACATCTTACACGCACATTCACTTACACACACATCTCTACCCAGACGCACGTTACACTTCACACACATCATACAGCGCACACATACACATTACACAGCACATAGCACTACACACTTCACATCTACAGACGCACATACACTTCACATCTACAGACGCACATACACTTACACACACATCTACAGACGCACATACACTTACACACACATCTACAGACGCACATACACTTACACACACATCTACAGACGCACATACACTTACACATCTAACAGACGCACCACTTACACACACATCTACAGAACGCACATAACACTTAACACATCACAGACGCACAATACATTAACACATGTACCAGGGCAGCATACACTTACACACACATCTACAGATGCACTTACACACACACACATCTACAGACGACATACACTTACACAAACATCTACAGACGCACATACACTTACACACACATCTACAGACGCACATACACTTACACACACATCTACAGACGCACATACACTTACACACACATCTACAGACGCACATGCATACACACACATCTACAGAACGGCCAACATATACACATACACATCTACAGACGACATACATTTACACATGTACAGCACATACACTTACACACAAATCTACAACGACGCACATACCACTTAACACCTACACACTAAGACGCATATGACACTTTATCACCCACACATCTACAGACGCACATACCACTTACACACACATCTACAGACTCATATACACTTACCACCATCTATCAGACGCACACTAAATATTCACTATCATGTCACAGAGGCAACATACACTTACACACACATCTACAGACGCACATAACACTTACACACACATCTACAGACGCATATACACTACACACACATCTACAACGCATATACATACACATCTACACATCTACAGACGCACATACACTTACACACACATCTACAGACGCACATACACTTACACACACATCTACAGACGCACATACACTTACACATCTACAGACGCACATACACTTACACACACATCTACAGACGCACATACACTTACACACACATCTACAGACGCACATACACTTACACACACATCTACAGACGCACATACACTTAACACACACATCATACAGACGCACATACACTTACACACACATCTACAGACGCACATACATTACACACTTACACACTTACACACATCTACAGACGCACATACACTTACACACACATCTACAGACGCACATACACTTACACATCTACAGACGCACATACACTTACACATCTACAGACGCATACCACTTTCTACAGACACATGTTACACATCTACAGACGCACATACAACTTTACACACACATCTACAGACACATTACACTTAACATCTACAGACGCACATACACTTATCACACACATCTACAGACGCACATACTTACACACACATCTTACAGACGCACATACACTTACACACACACACACACACACATACCTACAACACATCTACAGACACACACATCTACAGACGCACATACACTTACACACACACTACAGACGCACATACACTTACACATCTACAGACGCACATTACACACACATCTACAGACGCACATACACACTTACACATCTACAGACACATTTCTACACATTACACTTACACATCTACAACGCACATACACTTACAACAACCGCACATACACTTACACATCTTACAGACGCACAACACTTACACACACATCTACAGACGCACATACACTTACACACACATCTACAACGCACACATCTTACACACGCACATACTTACACACACATCTACAGACGCACACACTACACACACACCTACAGACGCACAGACAGACGCACATACACTTACACACACATCTACAGACGCATAACACACTTACACATCTACAGACGCACATACATCTACAGACGCATACACACATACTCTACAGACGCACATACACTTACACACACATCTACAGACGCACATACACTTACACACACATCTACAGACGCACATACACTTACACACATCTACAGACGCACATACACTTACAACAACACATCTACAGCATACACTTACACACACATCTACAGACGCACAACACTTTACACACACAATACAGACGCACATACACTTACACACACATCTACAGACGCACATACACATTACACACATCTACAGACGCCACAACACTTACACACACATCTACACAGACGCACATACACTTACACACACATCTACAGACGCACATACACTTACACACACATACTTACACACACACATCTACAGACGCACATACACTTACACACACATCTACAGACGCACATACCACTTACAACACACATTATCTACAGACGCCATACACTTACACACATCTACAGACGCACATACACTTACAACACAGACGCACATACACTTACCACATCTACAGACGCACATACACTTACACACACATCTACAGAGGCACTTACACACACATCTACAACGCACATACACTTCACACACATCTACAGACGCACACATACACATCTACAGACGCACATACACTTACACATCTACAGACGCACATACACTTACACATCTACAGACGCACATACACTTACACATCTACAGACGCACATACACTTACACACACATCTACAGACGCACACACACACATCTACAGACGCACATACACTTACACTTACACATCTACAGACGCACATACACTTACACATCTACAGACGACCGCACATACACTTACACACACATCTACAGACGCACATACACTTATACACATCTAACAGACGCACATACACTTACACACACATCTACAGAGCGCACATACACTTACACACATCTACAGACGCACATACATACACATACAGACGACGCACATTACACTTACACACACATCTACAGACGCACATACACTTACACACACAAACAGACGCACATACACTTACACATCTACGCACATACACTTACACACACATCTACAGACGCACATACACTTACACACATTCAACAGACGCAACACACACAACATTTTACACACACATCTACAGACGCACATACACTTACACACACACATCTACAGACGCACATACACTTACACACACATATACAGACGCACACGCAGATTTCTTCGGAATTATCATTATTTTTTGGTATTAATGGAAGATCCAACCTTGATTGTGCTTAGTAGAAGAAAGATGAAATAAAACAAGGAGAAAATGAGTAATTTCATGTTTATTCTTATATTTATCTATCTCTTGCCACTCATTCTTATCTTTATTCCACTGCAAATCACTGGAAGAAGTGACAAAAAGGTCAAAAGAAATACGACGAAAAATACGATAATAACTATCGTAATAAAAGGAACAGAGGTACTAGTAGTAATAGCAATAAGGATAACAAAAGCAATCACAATAATGGTGATGATAATGGGAATAATAATGATAATGGTAATAACAGAAACACATAATCATTTTTTTAAGGCAACAGTGGTAGAGATAATGACAACATTGATAATTATCATCATCGCTACCATTGGTTTTATTATAATCACGATAATGATAATAATAATAGTGAGGATAACAAAGAATACAAGAGCGAAAAATGTTTGCACACGTACAAGTAAACTAAATCATATGTTTAAAAATAAACATAAATAGTGAAAGAAAAAGGCACACAGAGAGGGAGAAGGGGAGGGGGGGGAGAGAGAGAAAGAGAAAGAGAGAGGGAGGAGGGGAGAATGAGGGAAGAGAGATGGAGAGAGAGAGAGAGAGGGTGAGAGAAAGAGAGAAGAGAAGATAGAGAGGAAAGACCTTCAATCAGATCGACAAACTTATTTTCTATACAACCATTTAAAAATCTTTTTTCTTCCTTTTACAGAAATTCCACAATCAAGGTAATCACAATCCATGGACAAGTTTCCCCCCCCCCCTCATATATCTTGTCTACAGCTTA